TAGTGAGAGGTAGCCAGAGGTGACTTAGTTTCAGGTAACTTGGATCGATCCCCAATCCACCTCACCATGATGGCAGTAACCCCCCCCCCCCCCCTTCCACGCCACACACACTGAACTACTTTCCCTGCCCCTGCTATCATACCTCCACACCCGCTATCATACCTCCACACCCGCTATCATACCTCAGTAGCTTGTAAACCCCCCCCCCTAGTCCAAGCATTTGGCTAGGGGCCCCCAGAAAATACACCCCTTAGCCCAAACATTTTTTTGGGGTGTGTGGGGGGAGTTTGCGCTATGCGGTACCTGTTTTAAGAGTAATTTTTTCCGTAGTGCAGTTTTGTTAAAATCGTATCAAGAAAATAGTTTTATTAGGAGTTTGTTCAGGAATTCCCAGTTTCAGCTGTAGTCTCAAGGAATTCTTACGGGGAAATTTCGGGGCAGAAGTTACACCTGTGGTATTAAAGAAAAATAAACTCTATGGACTGCCCCTAGCCTATGGACCCCAGCCCCTAGCACACTGTGACTCTCCCTCCCTCCGCCCCAGCCCTTGTAGAATGTCCCATACTGACTGACTTTCGCCCTCCTGGGCTAAGGTATGCTGAACTCTGTAGTTACTATATGAGTACTGGAACACTTGATGATATATTGGACTTGTATCCAAAATTGACCATGTAATGTATCAATCATACAATGTATGTATGTGATGTAACTATATAACCTGAGCTTGTAAAAGCACCTTCATCACCTTCAGTGATTAAGTGCTTAATTGCACACTAGTTTCTTTATCAGCTACCTCACCCTGTCAGAGTAAATGAGACAAATGTATGTGAATGCATGTGTGTGTGTGTATATATGTATGTGTATGTGTGTGTGTGTGTATGTATATGTATGGGTATAAAGCATATATGGAAGCTGATCAGAATTACATTTCACCTTTGTGAATGTACATTAATGACACTATGTAAAAGACACATCTAATACTTTATGTAGGGCATACGTAAATCTGTGTATCTATGTATTTACGTATGTAGGTTAGCTTAGCATTTTAAAAGCACCGAATCACCTTCTGTGGTTGATTGTTCAATAAACCCTTGAACTGTATGTTTAACACTTCTCTAACCCTGTCCATGGAGGACAGAAGAAAATGTATATATGCTGGTTAGCATTGTAAATGTGTGGCCACGTCTGTGGTAGAAAATAATAAAAAAAAAAAAAAAAAAAAAAAAAAAAACACTGTGACTCACCCTCCCCCCAGCCCCTAGCACACTGTGACTCTCCCTCCCCCCAGCCCCTAGCACACTGTGACTCTCCCTCCCCCCAGCCCCTAGCACACTGTGACTCTCCCTCCCCCCAGCCCCTAGCACACTGTGACACTCCCTCCCCCCAGCCCCTAGCACACTGTGACTCTCCCTCCCCCCAGCCCCTAGCACACTGTGACTCTCCCTCCCCCCAGCCCCTAGCACACTGTGACTCTTCCTCCCCCCAGCCCCTAGCACACTGTGACTCTCCCTCCCCCCAGCCCCTAGCACACTGTGACTCTCCCTCCCCCCAGCCCCTAGCACACTGTGACTCTCCCTCCCCCCAGCCCCTAGCACACAGCGACTACCCCTCCCCCTTCTCACCCCAGGGCCCCACATCCGGGCACCACAAGCCCCGCCCATGAAAACACCTTCCACCTGCAGGCTTAACTCTCAGCCACTTAGGTCTAAATCCTGTCATTAGGCGATGCCTCCCCTGTGTGTCCACCCTGTGTGTCCACCTGTGTGTCCACCCTGTGTGTCCACCCTGTGTGTTCACCCTGTGTGTCCACCCTGTGTGTCCACCCTGTGTGTCCACCTGTGTGTCCACCCTGTGTGTCCACCTGTGTGTCCACCCTGTGTGTCCACCCTGTGTGTCCACCCTGTGTGTCCACCCTGTGTGTCCACCCTGTGTGTCCACCCTGTGTGTCCACCCTGTGTGTCCACCCTGTGTGTCCACCCTGTGTGTCCACCCTGTGTGTCCACCCTGTGTGTCCACCATGTGTGCCCACCATGTGTGTCCACCCTGTGTGCCCACCCTGTGTGTCCACCCTGTGTGCCCACCCTGTGTGTCCACCCTGTGTGTCCACCCTGTGTGTCCACCCTGTGTATCCACCCTGTGTGCCCACCCTGTGTGTCCACCCTGTGTGTCCGCCCTGTGTGTCCACCCTGTGTGTCCACCCTGTGTGTCCACCCTGTGTGTCCACCCTGTGTGTCCACCCTGTGTGTCCGCCCTGTGTGTCCACCCTGTGTGTCCACCCTGTGTGTCCGTCCTGTGTGTCCACCCTGTGTGTCCGCCCTGTGTGTCCACCCTGTGTGTCCACCCTGTGTGTCCACCCTGTGTGTCCACCCTGTGTGCGCACCTGTGTGTCCACCCTGTGTGTCCGTCCTGTGTGTCCACCCTGTGTGTCCACCCTGTGTGTCCACCCTGTGTGTCCACCCCTGTGTGTCCACCCTGTGTGTCCACCTGTGTGTCCCCCCTGTGTGTCCACCCTGTGTGTCCGCCCTGTGTGTCCACCCTGTGTGTCCGCCCTGTGTGTCCACCCTGTGTGTCCACCCTGTGTGTCCACCCTGTGTGTCCGTCCTGTGTGTCCACCCTGTGTGTCCACCCTGTGTGTCCACCCTGTGTGTCCACCCTGTGTGTCCACCCTGTGTGTCCGCCCTGTGTGTCCACCCTGTGTGTCGACCCTGTGTGTCCGTCCTGTGTGTCCACCCTGTGTGTCCGCCCTGTGTGTCCACCCTGTGTGTCCGCCCTGTGTGTCCGTCCTGTGTGTCCACCCTGTGTCCGCCCTCCCACCCTGTGTGTCCACCCTGTGTGTCCACCCTGTGTGTGTCCACCCTGTGTGTCCACCCTGTGTGTCCACCCAGTGTGTCCACCCTGTGTGTCCACCCTGTGTGTCCACCCTGTGTGTCCGTCCTGTGTGTCCACCCTGTGTGTGTCCACCCTGTGTGTCCACCCTGTGTGTCCACCCTGTGTGTCCGTCCTGTGTGTCCGCCCTGTGTGTCCACCCTGTGTGTCCACCCTGTGTGTCCACCCTGTGTGTCCACCCAGTGTGTCCAACCTGTGTGTCCACCCTGTGTGTCCGCCCTGTGTGTCCGCCTGTGTGTGTCCACCCTGTGTGTCCACCCTGTGTGTCCGTCCTGTGTGTCCACCCTGTGTGTCCGTCCTGTGTGTCCGTCCTGTGTGTCCGTCCTGTGTGTCCGTCCCTGTGTGTCCACCCGGTGTGTCCGTCCTGTGTGTCCACCCTGTGTGTCCGTCCTGTGTGTCCGTCCTGTGTGTCCACCCTGTGTGTCCACGCCTGTGTGTCCACCCTGTGTGTCCGTGTGTCCTGTGTGTCCACCCTGTGTGTCCGTCCTGTGTGTCCACCCTGTGTGTCCACCCTGTGTGTCCACCCTGTGTGTCCGCCCTGTGTGTCCACCTGTGTGTCCACCTGTGTGTCCACCCTGTGTGTCCACCTGTGTGTCCACCTGTGTGTCCACCTGTGTGTCCACCTGTGTGTCCACCTGTGTGTCCACCTGTGTGTCCACCTGTGTGTCCACCTGTGTGTCCACCTGTGTGTCCACCTGTGTGTCCACCTGTGTGTCCACCTGTGTGTCCACCTGTGTGTCCACCTGTGTGTCCACCCGTGTGTCCACCTGTGTGTCCACCCTGTGTGTCCACCCTGTGTGTCCACCCTGTGTGTCCACGCTGTGTGTCCACCCTGTGTGTCCCCCTGTGTGTCCACCCTGTGTGTCCGTCCTGTGTGTCCACCCTGTGTGTCCACAACAAGTGAACAGTTACAAGTGAACAGTTACAGGGATATAACAGTGGTTACAGTACTGGAGAACACCAGGGATACAACAGGGGTACTGGAGAACAAGTGAACAGTTACAGGGATATAACAGTGGGTACTGGAGAACAAGTGAACAGTTACAGGATATAACAGGGGGTATATAACAGTGGATACAACAGGGGGTACTGGAGAACACCAGGGAACAGTTACAGGGATATAACAGGGGGTACTGGAGAACAAGTGAACAGTTACAGGGATATAACAGTGGGTACTGGAGAACAAGTGAACAGTTACAGGGATATAACAGAGGGTACTGGAGAACAAGTGAACAGTTACAGGGATACAACAGGGGTACTGGAGAACAAGTGAACAGTTACAGGGATACAACAGGGGGTACTGGAGAACAAGTGAACAGTTACAGGGGGGGTACTGGAGAACAAGTAACAGTTACAGGGGTACTGGAGAACAAGTGAACAGTTACAGGGATATAACAGGGGGTACTGGAGAACAAGTGAACAGTTACAGGGATATAACAGGGGGTACTGGAGAACAAGTGAACAGTTACAGGGATATAACAGGGGGTACTGGAGAACAAGTGAACAGTTACAGGGATACAACAGGGGGTACTGGAGAACAAGTGAACAGTTACAGGGATATAACAGAGGGTACTGGAGAACAAGTGAACAGTTACAGGGATACAACAGACTGGAGAACAAGTGAACAGTTACAGGGATATAACAGGGGGTACTGGAGAACAAGTGAACAGTTACAGGGATACAGGGACAGGGATACAACAGGGGTAGAACAAGTGAACAGGGGATACTGAACAGTTACAGGGATACAACAGGGGGTACTGGAGACAGGAACAAGTACTGGAGAACAAGTGAACAGTTACAGGGATACAACAGGGGGTACTGGAGAACAAGTGAACAGTTTACTGGAGAACAGGGATATAACAGTTAGGGTACTGGAGAACAAGTGAACAGTTACAGGGATATACTGGAGAACAAGAGGGGATACTGGAGAACAAGTGAACAGTTACAGGGATACAACAGGGGTACTGGAGAACAAGTGAACAGTTACAGGGATACAACAGGGGTACTGGAGAACAAGTGAACAGTTACAGGGATACAACAGGGGGTACTGGAGAACAAGTGAACAGTTACAGGGATATAACAGGGGGTACTGGAGAACAAGGGTGTATACCTACCAGGGGTGAGCAGGCTGGTCAGCAGGAGAGCGGTGGTGGCCACTCCAGCAAGAGGTGGGCGGGGGGCGGGGAGCCTCATCCCCCCCAGCAGCACCCCCTGCTCCTAACCCCCTCCTCCACCCTCTTCCTTATTCCTGTATACCTGCACCACCCCACCACCCCCCACACCACCGGCTCCTCCTCTGTGCCCTTCAGCACACGTCCTGACGCCCACACTGTGCCCCTGAGCCCTCCTGCTGGGTCCTCCGGCTGGTGCTGGCGGGGTGTAGGGGCGGGACGGCAGCTGGTGTCCTAGGGCGCCGCCTGCCTGTACAGAGAGAGAGACACGGTGAGAGGGGCTCCGGTAGCATGTTAAACATGACTTACTTACTGGGGAGAGTTGTGAGGATGGGGAATAGATGGGGAGTAGAGGGGAGGCGGGGGTGAGGGAGGGCTGTGTGAGGGTGTAGGTGTCGTGTGTGTGAGGGGGTGTAGGTGAGGGGTGTAGATGGGGCTGTGTGTGTGTGTTGAGTGCAGCCCGTTTTGAGTACATATGTATTTCCACTAGTCACACAACCCTCACCCCCTCATGGTCTGAATGCATATTACGGTTCCTGTAATAGTCTACATGTAAACTGACAATAAGTAATTATCAAAGCAAGGCACCAAGCCGGGGACACCCTGTAGCACCATCAACTGTGCGGGATATTCAAAAGGCGCCAAATATCCCTAAGGATGACAATACGAGAACAAAAGCGCATAAGGCGAACAACATCAAAGGGATCCGATTCACCAAGACTTCTATCGAGGGACAAGTGGCCGCGAGGGGCGGTCGGGAAGCAAGACACACGCTCGTCCTGAAAGTCAGGACATTCAACGTGATATACACGAAGGGCAATGCAGTTTGGACAATAAGGAGCAAAGCGACGCTCCATTAAGTGCCTGTGAGTTAAACGTGCATGACAAATAAGAAACCTCGCCAGAGCCGTTTCTCATCGCCAGTTACGGTGGTAGGAGGAAGACCACGGGGACACATTACTCTTAAGTGTATGCAACTTGTTACCAGTAACAGACGACCAACAATCCTGCCTACAGGCAAGGATGGAGGATGAATAACTGGTAGAAGTCAAAATAAGGAACACCTTTACAGGAGATGGGACAAAGGCGGATAACTTCCTTAGCGGCAGCGTCTATACAAGTCTTAGTAGTAGAGAACTTGAAGCCATGATTGGTGGCCCCGGACGACATGGCATCAATCGTAAGTTGAAGCCGCCGTTGGAGGAAAGGCGAGTCATCAACATCAAGATGCCAAGATCAGGCATCTTGCCTCAGGAAAAGATAAACAAACATGAAGTTTCAAATTGAGAATGGCTTCCTCAAATTTGTAGTGCATACATGTGCGGGAGAAGACAGGGTGGGCATCGCTGCAATTGATGCAATGAGCTTGAAAAGAAGAGCACTTCATCTTAGAATGACCGGAGTCTCCACAGAAGTCTCCAAAGAGACACCTCACTTGTGCACCTAAAACAACCATGCCCAAATCTCCAGCACCTTGTTGCAGAGGAGAGGGAATGTACTCCTGAATGGAGCATCTGGCACAAGCAAGAATTATGGAAGATGGAAGGGACCTTCTATTAAAACTAATCTTCACTACGCAAAGAGGCTGACGACGACCACGAGGGGGTCGAGTGAACGTATCAATCTAGAGGATAGAATGGCCTTCGGCCTCAAGGATATACTATCCTTGTGGCAGTCTTTCAGTTCCCTATCACCAGTCTCAACATGGCGCAGGAGAAGAACTGTGCCAATGCTGGCATTTAACTGGGCATTTTTGGAGATCCAAACAGAGGTCTCTCCAATGCAAGACAACGAAGCCAAGCAGTTAGCTGCTTCCTGAGAAGGGGCAGCAACACCATGTGTACCAGTATGGGTGGGGTTAAAGGTGACAAAAGTATCCACCGAATCAGGGGTGTTTATGGAGGAATGTATCATAAGGATGATTAGGATCAACATGACTGAGATCAAAATACTTAGTCAACATAGCAGGACCAAACAACTCATGGTATGTATTAATCAGGGAAGAAATCATGGGAGTGCGGAGGTGACATCGCCGAGCACTCCGCCTGATTTTTACTTAGGCTTTGTAGCGCTGCTTTTGAATCAGTGCAGATCACTGCCCCATTAGTGTTCAGTTCAAGGAATCTTAACGCCATAACAATGGCAGTTAGCTCTGCTTGCGTTGAAGAGGCATAGTTCTCAAAAAGGCGCTTTTTCTTCATTTCTGCGTTGAAAAGCATTATTCTTATGTTTCTGTCCGAAACGCTTTGCGTAATAGTGGCTTTAGGCATTGTATGTACTAGCTTTATGTATAAATCCATCAACGTTTTGTACCTCACCTTGTATGTATGTACTTTACCTCAATAAATATTTGTATTTGTTAATTACAGTGTATGCTGCACCAGCCCTGCCATTGACAGGATTAGATGACCCGTCAGTGTTGATTTGATCTAGTTCATCTCCGGCATCTTTATAAATGTCCCCGAGATACTTGTGCCTCATTTTTTGTGGTAACATGTTGGATTTTTTCGTTGCCATTTCATTGATGATAATCTTGCATGAGTCATCCTCCCAGGGAGGTAACCTCTCTACAGGCAGGAGCTCACGGGCTTGCTCAAGCAGGTGAAGTTCTTAGAGTCTCCTGTTTCCTCCTGTTAGCAGCACAGAACTCGGTTTTTTCTTCTTGGCAATACCATTGTAATGGGGATCTCTGGCCAGATTAATTGCAAGCTTAGCATTCAGTTCCTTAACTCTGCTTTTAACACTGGGGCGGGACAACTCCTCTCGTAGATTAGACGTTTTGGCAGTTCTTGGGACTCCAAGAATGATTGTCATTGCTTCATTTTGTATGCTTTCGAGCCTTTTCATATCGCTTTGGGAGTAGGTGCACAGAACTGGTGCGGCATAGTCTATGACGGAGCGCACATAGGCTGTGTACATCATTCACGACAATAGAGGTTCCATGTCTATTCCAGGTCATAGCTTTCAGTGCCCTGAGTCGACTTTTGCATGTTCCTATGAGTTGGTTGAGCTCCTCTTTCTTCCCCTTGTTAGAGCCGACAGTGACGCCAAGGTACCGATAGTGGTCAACCCATTCAAGTGTTACACCATTAATTTGTAGTTCTTCATTTTCTCCCCGCTTGTGATGGGAGTTTGCTCTTGTCTTGTTGGTGGAGAGAGGGAAACCGAACTAAACATATATTTCCTTCCAAGGAGTTCAATGGACTGTTCAATTTTCCCAAGGTGGGAGCTTGTATTAGGCTTGTAGTACGTATCTTTTCCTGCCTGCGCTCTAATGAATACAGATTTAGGCATTTTAGTAGAAGGGAGGAAGAGGAAGAAAGAGGTTAACAAGAATGACGAGGAGAATAAAGGAAGAGGAGGTCAGAAGGAAGGGTCGGGCAGGGAGAGGACCCCCCCCCCCCCACTGAAGCAAACTGTACCTGTCCAGAGTGAACCATGCCACACTTCCTGCCCCTCTCTCTCCTCTCACTCCCTTTGCAACCCGTTCTCGCAAATTCGTAAAGTCAATATTGACTTATTAACTACGTGCATAGGTGATATACTAAACATAATAGATACCCCTAAAAAGATTCATAGAAAACACCGACCTTACCTAACCTTGTTAGTATCTTAAGATAAGCATCTTATTGTTTCGTAATTACAATTATTACTTAACCTATGCCTATTATAGGTTAGGTAATAATTGTAATTACGAAGCAATAAGATGCTTATCTTAAGATACTAACAAGGTTAGGTAAGGTCGGTGTTTTCTATGAATCTTTTTAAGGGTATCTATTATGTTAAGTATGTCACCTATGCACATATTTAATAAGTCAATATTGACTTATTAAATTTGCGAGAACGGGTTGCTCTCCCCCACCTGTCCTCCCCCCCCCCCTCTTAACCGCAACACTCCTACGGTCACACCACAACACACACACGACCTGCTCCCGGATTTGCACCATGCACGCGCGCACGCGCGCACAACCTTGTATACCACATATGTAAGACCAATCCTGGAGTATGCGGCTCCAGCATGGAGCCCGTACCTTGTCAAGCACAAGACGAAACTTGAAACTGTTCAGAGGTAAGCCACTAGGCTAGTCCCAGAACTACCTTACCTTACCTTGAGGTTACCTTGAGGTGCTTCCGGGGCTTAGCGTCCCCGCGGCCCGGTCGTCGACCAGGCCTCCTGGTTGCTGGACTGGTCAACCAGGCTGTTGGACGCGGCTGTTCTCAGCCTGACGTACATCACATGTACATATGTTTTATACATGTACATCACATGTACATGAAGTTTTGATAAAGTTTGGGACCCGTATCATGAACTAAAAGGCATGAATTACGAGGAAAGGCTGCGGCAAATGTACATTATGTCGCAGGAGGACAGGAGAGCTTGGGGATACATGATCACTACCTACAAAATTCTAAGAGGAATCGACAGGGTAGATGAAGATAAATTGTTTAACACGGGAGATACAGCATCAGGTGAAACAGGTACGCGAACAAGGGGTACGGAGGTACGGGACGTACCTGAAAACAGGTACAGGTAATGAACCACAGGGACGTTAGAAGGAACTTTTCCAGTGTCAGAGTAGTTAACAGATGGAATGCATTAAGCAGTGATGTGGTGGAGGCTGACTCCATACACAGTTTCAAGTGTAGATATGATAGAGCCCAATAGGCTCAGGAACCTGTACACCTGTTGATTGACTGTTGAGAGGCGGGACCAAAGAGCCAAAGTTCATCCGCCGCAAGCTCAACTAGGTGAGTACACACCACAACTAGGCTACACTGAGTACAACTAGGTGAGTACACACCACAACTAGGCTACACTGAGTACAACTAGGTGAGTACACACCACAACTAGGCGACACTGAGTACAACTAGGTGAGTACACACCACAACTAGGCTACACTGAGTACAACTAGGTGAGTACACACCACAACTAGGCTACACTGAGTACAACTAGGTGAGTACACACCACAACTAGGCGACACTGAGTACAACTAGGTGAGTACACACCACAACTAGGCGACACTGAGTACAACTAGGTGAGTACACACCACAACTAGGCGACACTGAGTACAACTAGGTGAGTACACACCACAACTAGGCGACACTGAGTACAACTAGGTGAGTACACACCACAACTAGGCGACACTGAGTACAACTAGGTGGGTACACACACACATACAAAGGAGAAGGAAGAAGATAAGATGGGAACAAGATGGAGTAAGAAGCTGGGAAGACACTGTGTGTGTGTGCGAGGTACAAGTACCTAACGGAGGGGAAACAAAGGGTCACAACCAGGAGGCGAGGAGCTGGTGGGAGGGAGAGACAAGAGTGGTTCCTC